ACGGGGTTTCACCGTGTTAGCCAGGATGGTCTCGATCTCCTGACCTCGTGATCCACCCGTCTTGGCTTCCCAAAGTGCTGGGATTACAGGCTTGAGCCGCCACGCCCGGCCGCAAGTATAAATTTTTAAATATAAATTTTAAAGGTTTCATATGCCAGGTTATTGTCCCAAATGCACATGCAAAAAATAAGGTGTGTATGATGAACTAAATGTGGGCCAACAAATTAATCAGAAAGTGTGTGTAATTGTAGACAATGAATTTTTTTGCCTCTCAACCTAATGTACAGTTATTTCCAAGTGAAAGGAGGAAACTATCTCAGGGAATTATATTTAGATTGTCTTCTTTTCTAAGAAATAAAAACTGAGTTAAAAAAAGAGAAAATTTAAATTCAAATGGGCAAATATATTTTGTCAAATGTATATTTTTACATTTTCTGCTAGAGTTCAGAAGTTTTGTCAGAATAGCTTGCAACCCTGAGGATTCTACTTTCAGACATTGTCATAGTGGTAGGAATCACGCATTTTCCAATTAGTTGAATACTTCATGAAGAGATAATATTTTAAGAGTCTAAAAACTGAAGAGGCACATATAAAGACTGGATTTAGGCATCAGGATGAAAAGATGCATTGCAAATTCGTCAAAAAAAAAAAAAAAAGCAGATACATCATCACTGAGAAGTAGAATGAAAGCAGGTATCTTGTGATACCTTCCATCTTCCGTGTTCCTAAAGGCATATTTTAAAAAGTGGTTTTACTTAACACGAGCTCTTGTTTTCTTTTTCCCCACATATTTTTATACAATATAGCTAAATTTCTTCTTCATGTGTTACGAGTAAAAAATCTGTTTTCTATTACAATTCAACGTGTATTTGGTTGAAATTGTTTTTTAAATGACATGTGACCTTCTGGGGAGATTCTTCTTTAATAAAAAAGATGCTATTATTCAAAAGCATAAAATAAATGCCAGTCCACAGTCCTTGCATACACACAGAAAGAAAAACAAACATATTTCTTAGCAAGAACACTTTTTATTTTTTGTGGCAGAAAAACAAAATAAGAAAACATCTTTTGCTCTTCTCCTGCTAGGGAACCCATTTAAAATTAGTTTGATAATCAGAGGGGAAAAAAATCCAAACACATAGGTGAGAAAGCTCTGAAAAGATGAGTAGTGAATAAGCATTTCATTTTATCTTAACTGGTATGCAGGGGAGGACACAGGTTGTGTGGAACCTGAAGCTACGCATTTGGGGGGGATCTGCCAAATGGCTATCAGTAGTACTTTTTACATGCCTAATGTAGCAGGCCTAGAGGGAGAGCAGTCCAGATGTGAGCAAAAGAACAGAGGGCTCTGGGAAGGAAGAAACAATGGTACAGTGAGAAAATTCCTTCTGTGGCATTCAGCTTTCCTGTCCAGGAGCCTCAGTTACAGGCAGAGTTCAATCGGAGAAGCAGAGCTTGTAGGATAATAAAGAATTTGACTTAATACAACTGTGGGAGCTGGTTAAGTACTCTTTGAAAGGAAGCTGTCTCCACAGATGATGTTGGAGCTTGAAGTACGAACCGCAGTTAAGTGAGAGCGCAGATGAACGAAACAGAAGCAGGAGCTGGAATCTATGAGGACGGATTGAAACCTGTGTCAGTTCTTGTTGCCTCTGACCCTCGTTGATGTGGGTGTCCTGCAGAAGCCAGACCATTTGTTATGTGCTAAAGGAGGCTCCAAATTATATCGATAGGGAAGTGAAACAGCTGGAGGCTTAGCCACTATCCTAAAGCCAACGAGATACGTGACAGCATGAAGGAGCTACGAAGATGGCTGCCACTTCCTTTCTGCCCGCCAACTGCTCCTAACGGAAAACATCAGGCAAAAGGAATTCTGGGAAGTCTAGTTCGGCTTACCCAAGTTGACACATTACAAAGCACCTCACTTTTTCTTGGTTCCTTTTCTTCGTCTTTCTCTTTATCCACCTTTACCCTTATTTTTCTGATTCATATTGTCAGAATCTTTCCCAGAAAGTGTATGTGAATGTGGAACTATTTCTTGAGCATCTATTAATTTAAACTTTCCAACAATGGTAATATTTAGGTTAACTCACTAGTAAAATTGGTTTAGTTTTATTAATTTTAAAATGCTTCTCCATAGAAATTTCTGAGACCTATATTACGTGCAAATAAATTTTCTAGTTTTTCAGGACTCTGCCAGAGATCACATTGAAACCAACATTTTAGGAAGAATTTGATTACCTCCACCTGAGGAGGCTCTGCTAGTTGTGTGGAATGAAGACTGTTCTTAACAGCCCCTTTCGTTGATACCTACAACACACTCCATTCTAAATATTTTAATAAAAGGCACATTTGAAGTTTAAAATGTTATTGTCATCAGAGCATGGAGTTTTGTAACTCCCATAAAAATGTGCCTCCTGAACTAGGAGTCAAGTTTGGAAAAAATAACCACCAGAAATTTATGCTAGTAGAATACAGTCAAGGATACAAGATTAGTTGTCTGAGTCTAGTTCCTCATGCAGCCTTAAGCAGACATGTTCCTCGCTGCAAGCTGGAGTGGACTGGAGGCGGGGAGATCTGGAATTAAACCTTCCCACGGGGACTGGGTCAAGTATCAAATGGTAGACAGGTGTTCAATCCGGCAGGCACAATACAGGGTCTAGAGGGTCTGGATGAAAATTGTGCTGTAACTGATGTATTAATTGAAGAGTTCTCTGAATAAGGTTTTCCAAAAGGAGAAGGAAAAAAAAAATTGACAGTGTCCATTTAATCTGTTTGGGAGCCTCATTAGCCTGATCTTGATGGGACTGTACCTGTGGTCCTATTATATCATTCTTTTCTTGTACTTCTTTCAGCCAGTGATCTCAGGTCTCATTCTCATTTCATAGCTGTGGTGCAATTGTGCAAGGTCACAACTTTTTCTTTTCTTTCTTTCTTTTTTTTTTTAGACAGGGTCTTTCTCTGTCACCCAGGTTGGAGTGCAGTGGCATGACCTCGGCTCACTGCAACCTCCGCCTCTTGAGTTCAAGTAATTCTCCTGCCTCAGTCTCCCGTGTAGCTGGTACCACAGACGCCCACCACCACACCTGGATAATTTTTGTATTTTTAGTAGAAACTAAAAATACATGGGGTTTTGCCATGTTGGCCAAGCTGGTCTCAAACTCCTGACCTCAGGTGATCTACCTGCCGCAGCCTCCCAAAGTGTTGGGATTACAGGCGTGAGCCACCGCACCGGTCCATAATTTTGACCTTTCTTGGTGATACTTCTTCCACCATGTTATAGCAGTACATCCATGGAGTAATGTTACTCCAAGAAAATTTGGCTTTTAGAATTCCTCCACAAAATATTGGCCTTAGAGTAGTCCTTACTGTCTGATGAGCTTTTGCGAGTTTCTCCTGAGGCAATGATGCCAGCCCAGTTTCCGAAAGATAGCATAGTCTACCTTTAGTAGAGAAGAGCACAGATTCTGAGCAGGATTGCCTTTGAGCCCAGCTACACCTCTTGATAGCTGTGTGACCTCATGCAATTCACTTAAACCTCTGTACCTCAGTTTCCTCATTTGTGAAATGGAGATCATTAACAGTACCTACTCATAGGGCTGTGTGGCTGAGTGAGTTGATATAATTACCATTTTTATCACATTATGAGTATACCACATGTTAGCTGCTGTTAGTATTATGTCCCTCCAGTGAGGAAATAAACACAAGGCTAAATTATCGCTTGAATGGGGAGAAAGCTAAAGGCATACGAGAAGGAAAGGTAAGTTTGTATTTCAAAATCTGTCATTTTACCACAGAGGTAATTATCGAATTAGCCAAATAATCCCATATTTTTGCTTTTGAAATTTAACATTAGCAGCTTGAATTCTCTACAATTATGAATGTATCATTTCCACTTGTGTGTGTGTGCAAATCACTTCAGCCTAATTGGCTTTTTCTTCTTCTTCTTCTTCTTTCCAGTAAATCAACAGGATTACGTTTCCCTTAATAATTTTCAAAATGTCCACATGAAGGACAGGAAGATGTTTAACGGGAAGACCAAACATCATCAGTGCTCAAGTCCAGTAGATAACAAAGAACAGAAAGAAAACAAAACTTTGGTATTTTACTGGAATCTGAGTGAATAAATAGGGACCACAGGACAAACGGCAAACAACTGCTTGAGTTACATCAGAGGGAAAGAAGAAATGAGGAACTCGGATTTCCAATATGAAACTGTTATACAATATGATTAATGGAGCTAACAGTTGCCTATTACACATTAGAAAATCTTCTAGAGGATTTTAAAACAAAAGGAACAACTTGTCCAGAGTATAATTGATGCTTCCAGTTAAATTTCACAATTTTGCACCTCAGGGAATACTTTTGTTTTTCTTAGAGAGCAAATAAACTGACCATGTCACCTTGGCAATTATTAACCTGCCTCGTTTTTCATAACTAGGAAAAATTTGGCTTATCTCCATATTTTAGTTGAGATGACATATTAATTCATGTATTTAAGGGTAAAATGTTATTATCCTTAATACAAAGCAAAGTTTCAGCTTTGTATTAAGCAAAGTTTCAGCTTTGGTTTTACTTAGTTTTCAATGAAACATTATTGATGTTAAAGTACAAAACTTCTCTGAACATAATAGTAAGTTTTAAAATATATATATCTTTATAAAGATATATTATTGGATCTTTCACAAAAAGTCATACAAATGGGGAAAAAAGAAAAATATCAGAGTATTGGAATTTGTCCTTGAATCTCCTCTTTTAGTTTTCTTTCAGTTAAACCAGTGTCCACATGTTTGTTTCTGGATTGAAGCCAGAATCAACATTGTCCCTATTTCTAATCAAATAATGGAGAAATAATTACAATTTCTGAAGGCAGTCAGAGAATCCTGGGAAGCAGAGTGTCTGGACGGAGGCTGAGCTGGGTCTCTGACTCATTTCTGACTTTAGGCAAGTTATTTAATGTCTCTGCATTTTTGACATGCTTGTAATAATGCTAATTTATTCCACAGGTGTGATAGTAACCAAAACTCAAGTAACAACCACTAGCTTTTGCAAGAAGTCAGGCTGACTAGCAAGAAGTCTGCTTCTACAACTTGGAGAAGAGATTTAGAATTATGTATCTTTTCTATTTCCTTTACATTTTGAATGAATTGGATGGGAGTTTGATGTAAATGATAGGTTTGCAGTTTCAGTATAAAAAATTAAAAATAAAATGGACCATATGACAATTTTCACTTCAGAAGTAAAAACTTCAGAAACATTTTTCTTTATTGCATTTCTTGGGGGATCAAATATATTTAGCTTTGTAAGGCTTTCAGTGAGTATGGATTCTTAAGAAAAATGCGAAAGCACAGTTATATTCCATTTTCAGAAAGAGGAAAAAATTTGGAAGGAAATAGCTTAAAAGGAGCCTCTAAGCTTGTGTTTATGGGTAAATTTTTAACTCACTGACTTAGGTTATAGTCCGTTTGTGAATGTTAACTTATTAAACATACTTCCTTCAATAACTTTTTCCTTCCTTATTGTTTCTTTTATGTATCCTATTATAATGGCTCATTTAAAACATACCAATTTTGAAATGTTTACATTCTACTAATGTACTTCTGTTTTGTAATTGTTTTTTAAAATTACATATTATCTGTAGAACTTTTCATTTACAAATTTAATGTCTTCATCTTTAAATTTAATGCAGTGTAATTAATTAAATATCTTCATCTTTAAATTTAATGCAATGTAATTAATTAAATATTTTTTAAAATGTAGTGGGGAAGGAATTAGAATTTATAGCATTAAAATAATTTATGTCAAATAATATAGTCCACTAAAGAACAGCCATTTGAGAACAATTTTAATTTTATAATAATTAAAAGTTTCCAAACTGCCTAAAGCAAAAATATTATAAAAGAAATACAACTAATTGTGCAATAAATGAGCAGAATAATTTGATACAACTTTATCATAAGCCAGATGTGCAAAATAAATAGTGGTTTACTATCATGAATGATGGAGACCAGAGTCTTGAAACAAATTCCTAATACCTAGCATTTCTTCAATATTACAGAGAATGTTGGCTAGAATTACAAATGAGGAAAATGGGAAATTTTAGAGAACTTAAGATAGTCTCAGGAATTATTCTAAAGCTAATCAAAGTAATATAATGACTTTCTAAATATAGATAATTACATTTTGAAATACTTTATTGTTTATATGCTGCCAGACTAGGGGGTGCCTTTTTGATTTGATTATTGAATTATCTTAATGGCAATGAGATGAACATTTCTGGATATCAAGAAACAGAGGCCTGTCAAAAAAATTTCATTAGCCCTTTATTTTGTACTAAATCTAATGCTAAGCAACATTTATATACCTTATATAATTATATATAATATCTATAATATATACATAATTATTGTAATAATTTTATGTACATACGTACACATTTATATATACAGTGTGCGTAGGTAAAGTTATATGATATATAGGTGCATCACCCAGAGCATTTTCTTTTATTTATTTATTTGTTTATTTTTTGAGATGGATTCTTGCTTTGTTGCCCAGGCTGGAGTGCAGTGGCACGATCTCGGCTCACTGTAAGCTTCGCCTCCCGGGTTTACGCCATTCTCCTGCCTCAGGCTCCCGAGTAGCTGGGACTACAGGCGCCCGCCACCATGCCCAGCTCATTTTTTTGTATTTTTAGTAGAGATGGGGTTTCACCATGTTCACCAGGATGGTCTGGATCTCCTGACGTCATGATCCGCCCGCCTCGGCCTCCCAAGGTGCTGGGATTACAGGCATGAGCTACTGTGCCTGGCCACCCAGAGCATTTTCAAAACATACTTTCATTTATGCAACAGCCAGAATCAAACACTGGAATAAAGAAAATTTTTTTAAGCTCTAAGTGTTTTTTGTTGTTGTCATTTGTTTGTTTTTTGAGACGGAGTCTCACTCTGTCACCCAGTCTGGAGTGCAGTGGTGTGATCTTGGCTCACTGCAACCTCTGCCTCCCAGGTTCAAGCGATTCTCATGCCTCAGCCAACAGAATAGCTGGGATTAAAGGTGTGTGCCCCCACACTTGGCTAATTTCTTTGTATTTTTAGTAGACTGGGTTTCGCTATGTTGGCCATGCTGGTCTCGAACTCCTGACCCAAGTGATCTGCCCTCCTCGGCCTTCCAAAGTGCTGGGATTACAGACGTCAGCCACCACACCTGGCTAAGCTCTAAGTTTTTAAGCTAATATATTCACTTCTGAAATAAAGTACTTGATCCCACAAATGCATAAGAAAACTCGAACCAAATAAAAAAAATTTCAACAAATAGCATTAAAGCAAAGTCTAAAAGATACAGACATTTCATGACTTTTCATTTTTGACTCCTGAATATGAACTGGGAGTGGATTAAAATAATGAAGATTTATTTCCTATCACATAAAAAAAAAAGAGGACATCATTTTTACTACTGATCCTTAGCAGTTTCATTTATCAAGGAAATATCCTAATCAGTAATCCATTAAATACATTGGCTATTTTCAGTCAGAAGAACAATTTGAGTTAGAGTCACAAATAAATGGTATTTATGTCATATCGTTACACTGATTTCCCAGACTAGTGTAAATATAGTTAGGGAAAGTCTCTTTTATTTCTTTAGGCAAACAATTTTCCCTCTCTGAGCCTCGTTTCCTCTAGTGTTGATGATATTTGACTAAATGATGTCACTTCCTTTAATTATGTTTTGTGTGCATGTTCTAGCCTCAGGGAATAAGGCTATTTCTAAAATCTCTTTATATGTTTTTAAAAAATATTTTGTTTTCCATCTTTTTTTTTTGCTTCCTTATAATAAAATGTTTTTATTTCTTATTTTCTGTAACATGAAAAATACTTTCTGATTTTATGTCTGTGACTATGCAGTTGATTGATTATGTTTAAGAAATCTCCATTTGAGTAAGGGCATTTATTGTTTTGCTTTTTGCTACTTGAGTTTTGTGATAAATTTTAAAATTACATAGTTAAAGACACCAGGGTACGAATTTAAAAAGCAACATAGCTATTATAATTTTGCTCAAAAAATATATTTATTGCCAACTGAAAACATGAGTCAAACTAAAACCTTATTATGAGATAGCTATGGTAATGACCTTGGCCCACTGAGACAGCCAACTTTAAATATCTTAGGTATTATATTTTCAGTTATATATTTTCTTTTGGGATTTTATAAATCCAAATATCTTTTTTAAAACCAAAATAAGCTATCACATATCAACATGACGTATTTGCAAATCACAAAAAACTTTATGAAAAGCATAGTTCATTAAGAGTTCTTAGTTATTTTTGTTGTTGTTGGAAGGGTGAAGAAGGGGGGAATCTGATAAAGACATAACAACAAACACAAAATAATTTGATCTGCGATAAGCAACTGTGAAATTACAATAACAGATCCTGGGAAGTTCTACAATCCTAATTTAGGTTTACAAGTTTTCTTCTCATCTATTCAATAGATATTTTGTTGAGTACCTGTGCTAGGTTCAGTTGTGCCCCCCAAAATATGTTCATTCCTAACTTTTATTACCTGTGAATGTGATCTCACTTGCAAATAGGGTCTTTGTAGATGTAACTAAGTTAAGATGAGGTCATACTGGATTAGGGCAGACCCTAATCCAATGACTGATGTCCTTATATGAGGAGGGAAATTTAGACACAGAGACACACAGAGGAAAGACAGCCACGTGAAGATGGTATCGGAGAATGGAGTGATACTGCCACAAGTCAAAGGATGTCAAGAATTGCTGGCAACCACCAAATGCTAGAAGAGGCCAGAAAGGATTTTCTCCTGTAGACTTTGAAGGAAGCGTGGCCCTGCTCTTCTTGATTTTGGACTTGTATCCTCCAGAACTGTGAGATAATAACCTCCTCTTGCTTTAGGCCACTCAGTTTATGGTAGTTTGTTATGGCAGGCTCAAGAAACTAGTACAGTACCTAACTATCCACCCAGCATTAGGGCAGTATATATAATAGATGTAGCCCCTCGCCACTTGGCACTTACATTGTAGATGGTGGTTGGAGTGGGTAGACGATAAACACATATAATATTTCATTATATTTGATGATAAGTGCTAAGGAGAAACTTAACCCATTGTAATAAAGATATGGAGTGTACGGGTGATGTTGTTTGCCTGTGTCTCCACCCAAATCTCATCTTGAATTGTAGTTCTCATAATCCCACATGTTGTGGGATGGACCCGGTGGAAGGTAACGGAATCATGGGGGCAGCTACCTCCATGCTGCTGTTTTCGTGATAGTGAGTTCTCCCGAGATCTGATGGTTTTATAAGGGGCTTTTCCCCCTTTTGCTCGGCACTTCTCCTCCCTGCCATCATGTGGAGAAGGACATGTTTGCTTCCCCTTCCACCATGATTCTAAGTTTCCTGGGGCCTCCCCAGTCATGGCAAACTGTGAGTCAATTAAACCTCTTTCCTTTATAAATTA